TCTTATAATCTTATAATCATTCTTATAATTTCATAATCACGCTATAATCCTTATAATCTATACTCAAAAGTACACGGCTGAGGCGAGTTGTAGCCCACTCGTGTCCATCACAGGGCACCTTACCCTATTCCGATTCACGGCAGAAACAGCATCAGGTTTTGTGGAGCTGTTTGCACCAGTCTTATACGGCTCGGAGGTCCTCATAGACGTAACCAACGTATATGTTAATTTACGTCAATACCATCGGATGTAGTAAACTTGTCGATGTGTTTTAACAATGTAAAAATTCTGTTCATGTGTAGGGGTAGACACGTTCACTTTGCCAAAAGTGTTCGGATTTTAAGCGGGCTAGTTCCTAAAGTGTTCTACTTCCAAAATGATGAACAAAAATATTTTTTTCAGATTTTTTGGACCAGGGGAAAAGGTCCTAGACCTTCAAATTTAACATGGGGCTCTTATGGGAGAAAAGCCAAAAAAGTGAAATTTGCCATTATCGGCTTCAAAATGCAATTTTAAAAAAAATCTCTTTCGGAAATGAAATCTACGCGTCAAAACGCATCCGGAGACGTGCCACACTTTATAGACGTACCAGAGGTTCTTGAGCTCTGCTATAGGGAAAAGGGCGAAAAAGGCTGATTTCAAGGAAAATTCTAGAAAAATTTGCACAAAAACGAATAGTGTGTAAATAAAGTGTGGCACGTCTCCGGATGCGTTTTGACACGTAGATTCCATTTCTGAAAGAGATTTTATTTTAAAATTGCATTTGGAAGCCGATAATGCCAAATTCCTCTTTTTGGACTTTTCTTCCATAAGAGCCCCATGTTAAATTTGAAGGTCTAGGGGGACCTTTTCCCCTAGTCCAAAAAATCTGAAAAAAATATTTTTGTTCATCATTTTGGAAGTAGAACACTTTAGGAACCAGCCCGCTCAAAATCCGAACACTTTTGGCAAAGTGAACGTGTCTAGTGTGGGGGTTCATTTCGCTCCAGTGTATAGATGATGACCGACAGCAAAGTGTTTCAAGTAATATATGTTTCTTTACCGTTATCAGTACTGGGACGACGAAATTGCCGCCATCGCACAACGCTGGGCTACGCAGTGCAAGTTTCAACACGATACATGTCGAAATAGCGGTAATTTTCGTTCCAAGACCCTTGTAAATATAAAACTACGAGATGATAGCTCCTTGCAAGAAAGACATCGCCGCGCAACGGCTGCTGAAAACGGCTGTGCTCCGGTGGGAACCCGCTAAGGGAGACTCAGATGAATTTTGGCCGCGCGACTTATACATGCACGTTTAGAGCGCTAAGAAACATCGGAGATCTAAAATATACATTTCCTGGAAACGGTTAACAATAGGTGAATCACTTCGGCGCGGTTTGCCGTTTTTGGTACAATGGTTCCTGTAGCCTCCGGTCCTGAAGCTAGATTCAAGCACGTGCGTTGCGCGGTCAAAATGCAACTAAGTCTTTCTTAGCAGCCTCCCGCTGGCCAAGACGGTTCAGTAGCGGTCAATGGCTCTATTCCGAACAAGAAAATTTAAGAACCTTAACTGTTCGATTTCGAAGTTCTCGTTTCGAAATCAAACCTTGTTTGATTCGATTCAATCAACACCTCTAGAAACTGCATTGTTGGGGCGGAGCCCTGTCGTACTTACCGTATACTTACTCAAATGACCGTTTTTTAGCCCGCCCTTTTGCTTTGAAAAAGCTATCCAGCGGGCTTATGCAAACGACCTCGTGTGTGTCTGTCTGTTCCACTAGAAGGAGATGTGCTAGACACTTGAAATTTTCAGAGTATCTTAAGGTCCACTCCTAGACAACGTAACGCCTACGGCAAATCCTGGCAATCACCCCTAAGGGTGTTAATGGGGGTATCCAAGGTTCAAAAATTCTCCCCAAAAGTATTTTTTTTTTTTAGGTTCTCCTAAGGGGTAACGCGTGGAAGTAGAGTACTCTGGGCGAAAATTTCGTCCGTTTTGCTCTATCGCTAACCGTTTAGGCGCTAGAGGGTCTTTTTTGACGAAAATAAGCTAAAAATTGCCGTAGTGATCAATACGTTGTAGAAAAAGGCCTAAAACCGCAAAATAGAAAGGAAACTCTCTCCCCACCCCCAAAAACCGTTTTCTAAGCAGAAGGGTGGGTTGAAGTCGCGGTGCTTCACCGTGACATCCCTTTCTCGAGTCTTTGGGGCAAACTCAAAGACAACGGGTGTAAGCGGGCCGAAGGCCCGCTACATCATTCGATCATGTTCTTCAGCAAATCGCGTGACAGAAATGGTCGGGCCGCAGGCCCAACCATTGCCGCCGGCAGGCCAAGCAGGCCCGGCCCCTGCCGAACGGAGTTGCCGGCGGAGCGAAGCGGAGCTAGCAATTCCGTTTGGCGGAAGGGCGGGCCTGCTTGTTTTACAAATCGACAACGTTGAGGGTACAGCTAAAATACATTTCAGCATTTTCCGAGGGGTGGATAACTCCTGAATTTGGTGTACAAATTTCAAGAATTGAATTTGAATTAGCTTGAATTGGCTTGAATTGAATTTGAATTGGACTGAATTGGTTGAATTGGTTTTGAATTGGTTTGAATTATTGCGATTTTATGTTACTGAATTAGCGTGAATTGGCTTGAATTGACTGAAATTGACTGTACATTGTCTTGAATTGGACTGAATTAGTTGAATTAGTTTTGAATTTGTTTGAATTAAATTGAATTGGTTTGAATTAGTTTGAATTGGGCAGAATTAGGGGTGTACATTTGGCAGGGGAGTTATCCACCCCTCGGCATTTTCGCAGGTACGAACACGGTTAGGTGAAACAATCCACGCACCAACCACAACTAGAGGTGTGCGACCAGTTTAAATTCGAACTGCGTCGTTTTCTTTAATTAAGGGATTTGAAGGCCTTTGTTTAAAGTAGATCCCTTTGCGACATCGGCACTCCAAGGAGGCCCGGTCCATGCCAAATAGAATAGCTTGCGGAACCAGGTGCATCTTGCAACTACGTTTGGCGGAAAGGCGGGCCTTGCATGTTGGTTTTCCAAAGCAAAAGGGTGGATTTTGCGGTGCAGTCTGCTTGTCCTACCTCCTTTAAGTCCTACCTTAAAATTTTTAATTCAAAAGTCAAATATTCTAGTAAAATTTGGAATATTTTAAATTATTCAGGAAGTTGAAAAATATAAGATTTTTGAGTCCTACCTTAAAGTTGACCGACCATTAAAAATATTCAATTTCAAGAATAAAAATATTCCTCGGAATAAAAATATTCCCCAGAATAATAAAAGTCCCAGAGTAAAAAAAAAAATCTCCGGCATAACCCGCAAAACTAGCCGACTTATGTCGACTATCTGCTGGACGCCGTCTGTTCATACGGATAATTGCATTGCATGAGTCCGTGGGCATTACACCCATTGTGCCCATGCAATTACCCGGCAGACCGGCAGACTTTCTCACCTACCTGCTGGACACCCCGGATTTACAGTATCACTATACTCGCCCGGGGCCTTAAGGGAGCCGTGGGCTACGAGGATGGGCAAACCTGCCCGCACCCGTGCACTCGGTACGCGGTACAGTATAACTACGAAAGTGCGCGGCTTGAGTCAACCACCTAGTGCAAGTGGGACGACACCGCGAGGAAGGGGGAGATTTTGAAGTTAAAATATTCAGGTAGGACAAAAAGGGGACAACATAATAGACCCTTTATTTTGCTGTACTGATAACGTTACGAAAAAAAAAAAAAAACAGGCAAAGGTCAATCTCGGGCCAGAGGTAGGGACAGGCAAAAATGAGTTCGTTCGTTGCCAATTATTCCATCTAGACGATAAAAGTCATTAAAACTGGCCGAGATCTGTTTCGTGACTCGTAGGCAGCACTAGGATTAGTCTGGGGTATTAGTGTGCTGTGCCACATTTAGGCATGCATGCTGTCGGTATGCTCACTCGGCTCGGAGCCATACAGCGCCGTGGTGAGCGACTGTTTGCAGGCCTACCCGCCTCTCAAATCGCAGACCTACACTCTAAAATAAATCAGTGCAAAATTTTGTAACATTGATGGGAAGTTTTTTCAGTAACAAGATTACAAAATTTTCTAACATTCGAGGTTACAAATTTTCGTAACTACTGTGCACAAGTATTTGCTTCCTGGTTACAAAATTTTGTAACATAAGATGTTACAAATTTTCGTAACGTCGCATTACAAATATTTCTTTTCTGATTACAAAATTTTGTAACATTTTGTGCTGTTGAGTGCAGTAGTTGCCGACACCAAAAAATTAGTAGTATTTCCTCATTGCCGTTCCGGAAGGGTCATATCAGTTAGCCAATGTCTCTTCATCAGAAGTGCACAGTGAATTACCCGTTCGAGCATTGCAAAAGTCGGTTTTAGCAAAACTACTTTGCTAAATCTTGCCTTTTCCTCGGAGCAAAAACTGTTCCGAGGAGGACAATACTAATCAGTGACACTGCAAGTCACTGATACAAAAATGAAGTAGCGTGTTAAAACCGCTACGGTCATATGTGGAAAACATTGCCATACCCAACCGAGGAGAGTTCGCAGGTACCCTGCGCGCGTTGATATTAAACCAATTATATCTGACGCATGGTTGAATTTTTCAACAAAAACTTTCACATTCACTGAAGGTCATTGTCTTATAGAGCATACAGCGTAAAATTAAATGTTAGTTTCGTGTCAAAATTTGAGTTTTATACAGAGAAATGGTTATTGTTAGAGACGCTCTGACCGTTACGCCATCTAGCGGCAGTTACTAGCGACACACAACATCTTAAAATCTCTCGAGTCGAAGAGATTTGCCTTCGGTAGGCAGCAAAGGCAGCCTTTCTCTGCTCTCACACTAATTTTTACATGAGAGTGTACAAGTTTTTTTGTTTTTGTTTTTTGTTTTTGGATGGCTGCAACAGCACATTTCTGAACCATATGGTACAAAATTTTGTAATTGGGACACAAAAATTTGTAATGCGTGGATGCAAAAATTTGTAACATCCTATGTTACAAATTTTTATATCAAGTTAACGAAAAATAATACCAGGATTAGGACAAACTGTAACAATGTTACAAATATTTGTAACAATTACAAAAACCTGCAACAGTTACAAAAATTTGCATTCGTATTGTTAAAGTTTGTACGTCGGTTACAATTTTTTGAAACAATTACAAAATTTTGTCACAAAATTACAAATTTTTGAATCTGCATCCAAGGTTACAAAATTTTGTTTCAAAATTGATACTAGAACTTGTAACTTTTTTTAGAGTGTACGCCTGCATGCGGCACAGGAGGAGGGGGGGGGGATAATTTAAGCACGTGCGTTTAAGGGGATGGAGAGGAAACGACAGGCGCGTCTGCCCTGGGCCAAATAACCAAGGAACAACCCTGTCCATGCGTGCTGCACTTAAAGTTAACCATGGATTTTTGTTACCATAGATTTAAGGAACCAGTAAACCAAGAAAACATCAGTTCACCATAGGTTTATGGTGGTATGCAGCATGACCATTAGCCATGGCTAACTTGAAACGGGAAGTAGAGCGTGGAGCGTGACGTTGAGACGGAAGGGAAGGGCATACCGGATCGAGCTGAAACTTTCCACGATCATACATTCACCCTTTCTCTATCCGATGATATGTTGTTTTCGGGTTTCAAATAGGTAGAAGCGTATAGGAGAGGATGGGTAGGATGGGTGGCATATTTGGCAGTGCAGGTCTGGGCGTGGGTGCGCCCGTCGTTCCCTCTCCATCCCTTTATTGGCTGAGCGATTAGCGAAGCCTATTACTCCAGTGATGATCAAAAAGTTTCGCGTCTGTCTGTGTGTCTGTGTCTGTCATCACGATAACTCGAGAACAAATTGAGCTAGCGACCTGGGATTTTCTGGGTCGTTTGGTGTTATAAAAAGACAGATCAAGTTCGAAGAAGGTCAATCTAGCTCAAAAATTGAATTTTTTAAAAAAAATCAAAAACCACAGGTCTCACAAATAATGTTTTTAAAAATATTTTTTTTACAGTTATCTCAGGGGTATAAACCTCATCAAAGTACAGCTCTTTGGGCGAAAATTTCGTCCATATGGCTCTATCTTTAACGATTTAAGCGCCACAGGGAGTTTTTGACGAAAATCAGCGAAACAATGTACAACCCTGTACTCTTAGTCGCAGTGACGGGAAGTTGACGGGCCGAAGGCCCGTATCTTAGTGTACATTTTTGCGCTTCCCGACTCGGGTGTCAGCGCCGCAGGCCTAGGTAGATGTATGCCAGGCGCGTCACAGCGTAACAGTGTTTCGTGAGATTTTGCGAAGCCTGTTACGCGAGACGTGGTCTGGCGTACATCTACCTAGTACTCCATGATAGAAAGAGTCTCTATAAATTCTGCGGTGCACACATGCCATTATAACTTCTTACAGCGGACGGCACCTACGTAGGTCAAAACATTTTGATAACGACGGACACATCCAGTACTTTATCATCGATTTTGGAAGAAAGCGCACAGGCATGGTTTAGTGAAGTTGCGAGCTACAACGCATCCCTTGCGTCGCAGCCCTATGTGTAAGTATTTCTCGTCAATGGTTTCCTTTCGGAGCACGCGCAGCTGAACTGTAGTCTACAGGCCACAATAAAATTTATAAGTTATAACTCATAAATAACTCTTAAAAAACGTTCACGTTTGTTAAGTAACAAGTTGCCCCTGCCTGCATCTCGGGACTCATGCGTAAAACAGAGGGTTCAAAATGTTTTGCAGCTTTGACGAGAATACAGGCCACTACACGCAGATGGCGTGGGCCACGACGACGCGGGTCGGCTGTGGGTACGCGGACTATGGCCAGAGCAGCCGCAGCCGGCTGGTTGTCTGCAACTACAAGGAAGGAGGCAACGTGATCGGGGAGGTCATGTACGCCTCGGGCTCAGCGGCGAGCCAGTGCACTACGGCCGACTCAACGTACACGTCGCTCTGCGCTTGAGGGGTAGCGAGAACGCAGACGATGGTGACACACTGCGTCAATAAACTTTTCATGGAAAATTGAAGTACGTCAACAATACGTAATTTGAGCTCAACCTCAAACGGCAGTCCTTACAATGACAGTGTGAACCCAACAGTCAACATCAAATGCGCTTGTCACAGGGCGTCGTAACGAAACGCAACGAGGTTACAAGTGTAACGGATGGTTTCGTATTTTAGCCCTCCCTTCTGCTTTTATAAAAGCATTAAAGCGGGCTTATGCATGCAACCGCCCTCGTGTCCGTCCGTCTGTCTGTCGTCCGTGTGAGAGGAAGGAGATGAGCTAGAGGTCTACAAATTTTAGGGTGTCTTACGGGTCACTCCTGGACAACGAAACGCCTGGTGCAAATCCTGGCAACCACCTCTTAGGGGGTAAAAGGGGGTAACAAAGAAAACCGGGCTGGTCCATAAAGTAGGAAAATTTTCTTTCTAAGGTCTCCTTAAGGGTCACTCGTGAAAGTAGAACCTTTCGGGCGAAGACTCTATCTTGCACCGTTTGGGCGCTAGAGTGTTTCTTTCGACGAAAACACGGTGAAAATGACCACGTTGCACATAAAGACATACAAGGAGGCGTCTAATCGCATAATGTAATAGAAAGTACTCCCCCCCACCCCCCACAAAAAACCAGCACGTTCTGAGTCGGGTACCACCCTCGAATTTGCCGTATCTTTAACTGTATCGGAGCTAGAGGTGGTTAAAACATTGGAAAAAGTTCAAGTTTTAAGGCTTACAAACAATATAATCTAAAAACTGCGCTTGGTTATTTTTTATTTATTTTTTGTCTTTAAGTAAAGAAGAAGGGTGGGTTGTAGTCACGGTGTAGACCCGTTACATTTTCTTCTTATGTCTTAGTAGCAAATCTCCACGGCCGCAGGCCCCTTAACCGGTAGCCTTAGCTTACTCAAATGTGCAATGTGACTTATAGTGACCAAACGCCGCCGGCAAGCCAAGCTAGGCCCCGGCCCGAACGGAGTTGCTTGCGGAGCGTAGTGTCCGTAGCGAAAATTATAACTAACCGAGGCACAGCGAAATTGTCCATAGCTGAGCCGGTGAGTGTGTGTACGTCTGTATACAGTGCGACTGGTTTGGGCGGGTTGCAGGCCAGCTACATTATTTATGTTCTCTATTAAATCGCGTTACTGAAATAGGCGGTCCGCAGGCCCAACCATCGCTGCCGGCAGGCCAAGCAGGCCCGGTCCCTGCTGAACGGAGTTGCCGGCGCAGCGAAGCGGAGCTGGCAGCTCCGTTTGGCGGAAGGGCGGGCCTGCTTGTTAATTGAGTTGCGTTTCTAAACAGGGTGTTGGTAAAAGCAGGCCCAAGGCCGCGGAAGCAGATTCGATAAATACGCAACGACCTGAGACCTATTTAGTGTCACACAGGGGGGGACGTATTTTGATGTTATAAAGATCGTGGAAGGAAAGTCCTCCGGAGCACGTCGGGATGTTGAACCCCGGAGCTGAGGCTTGTTAAGGCGTCCAACCCGTCCTGACCTGTCCTGAATTCTCCCTGGCGCGCCAGAGGGCCTCTGTCAGAAACCAAATACATACATACATATTTCGGCTGGAATGAGTCTTTTCGAGTGTGTTTGAGTTTATGATCGTGAAATATGATGCTCATGCGTACTGTCCAAATAGGTAGAGGCGTGTAGGAGAGGATGGGTTGGATGGGTGGCACATTTGCCAAGAGTCTCTCTTGTAAAAACAACTAAAACATTTTGCATGCTTGAAGACAATTGAAGTTATTTGGACATTGACCGGTATGGCGCGATATTTTAACACATGAAGTTCGATGCTACTAGTGCTATACCAATGTCAACAAGATGTACACAACAGTACTGAATATGCACTGGGAGTGTCCAGCGACCAATTCGGTAAAATCCCCACCCAAAAACTTCACTCAGATATCAAATAAATAGAGAACAAATGAGACATGCCAAAAAACGTCCTCCGCCATCTTGGATTTTTTTCGGCACATATGCCCGACAGCCTGAACGGAGCGTCGCACAACCTCGTCACTCTCAGACCTTTACTGATTTATTTATTAGTAGCTTATAAAGGTTTTTATGCAGCAGGATTACTGACTAATTTGTTACTTATTCTGTATATCGTTCTAAGTAACTCACTGATAAAAGAAGAAATTGTCAGTAATTACAAAAGAAATATTTTCGTTGGCTGAGCGTTAGCGAAGCCTTTGCTGTCATGAGGTGCAGGGAACTCTTTGGTTGTGTGTCTGTCTGTCTGTCTGTCTATCTGTAATCACACACGTTTCTCAAAGACGGCAACTTCAATTGACTTCAAACTGCGCACGAAGCATCAGTATAAATCCGGTCGTATCGGGTTTAGTTTAGAAGTTTGATAGAAGATGTTTGAAATGAGCGATCGTTTAATTTGAATTCGTTGTTTGGTGGTATTAGGTTGGTAGCACGGCGAGGGGGTAATCACTCCGTGAAAATGCGTACACCTCCACTCTTCACTTTTCCGCTTTTATTTACTTTTTCACCGTTTTACAACGTTTACTTCATTTCTGTGCCTACATCCTCTCTATTTGATTCAGTTTTGATCTGATCAACGCACGATAAGTCACTTTTGACCACATTTTCTTTCAGTTTTCATCACTTTCAGTCAACTTTTTGTCACTTTCACTTTAACTTTTATAGAAATGTGTACACCTACTTTCTGTAGTGATTACCCCCTCGTAGCACGGCAATCGAGGGGAGGGGGAGCGCAAGTGTCTTCTGCGCTCACCTGAAGACTTGAATACCTTCTCAGCAGTGATTAAAATGTCAGATAGTCAAACCGAGTGTTTTAGTTTTAGAGTTGCGGAACTCAGCCTGCGAAGTTTCCTGAGTGTCCGATGAGAAGGAACGAAAGTTATATTTGGAATGGTTTACGTGTTTACTTACGTAAGCTGGAGGGGGCGGGGGTAGTGGTTTGGGAGAAATGTGCAAAGGTAACAGTTGTTTCGGGTTCATCTTGACAAAAGAAAACGAAAATATTTTATGCCCAAAGATAATCGGAATCGAAATGGCAGAGTTATGTTCAAATGTTCATTAAAGTGTTAAATCGCCTCTGGCGGCCAAAAGGTGCGTCGGAGGTCAATTCTGACGGCAGTTTTCGCCGAGACGAACAAAACGCACCCTTCGAACGTTCAATTTGAAGTTATTCCCCTCCAAGTTGACAATTTGGTCGTTTTGGCACACTTTTACCCCTTTGGGTTCTATTAACTTTGCCATTTCGACTCTGATTGGCTCTGAGCATAAGACATTTCCTTTTTAATTTTGCAAGAGGAATCCTAATCTGAGATTGTACCAAACATTTGATAACTTTTAGCAAATTGCAATTTTACAAATTCTTCATTGAAACACAAAATAATGGTGTTCAGTCGTTAAACGACTAGAAGTCATTTTATCTTACAAAAAGGCATCTTAAAAGGTTTATTACACTCACAACTAATTTTCTCAATAGCAATATACTTGCAAGGGACCGAACAATATTAGAGCCATAGTCGCAACTTATTGTAGGATGAGCTGTTCCAAATCAGAACGAGATTTATAATTCTCTTACATTGACTAGATTTTTCTAGCGCCAGATTATTTCTATTGATACTGAAATAAAATGGTGAGAGAATTTTAATTACAATCTATGATGAGATATATTACGGAACTTTGAATTATTAAACTAAATGACTCGTGATCATTAAAACATCTTCGAGAGATCAGATGAAAATGAATCAAAGAATGACAAATTAAAGTTTTCAATATGGGAGGAGTTTCAACACATTGAAATGAATATTATTTGATATAATTCCACTTCAACCAGAGGCAAGTGAGGGTATTGAATAAAATTTCTCCAGCTGATTGTAACAAGGGTTTGCCTTACTCAGAGTTTTACGGTATTTGGATGTTCTACTATTGTTCGACACATTGTAAGTTAAATATCTTAATAGTATTCATTTGTTGAGGTCAAAAGTCATCACACTCCCAATTCTAATTACTGGGGACTGAGGACTGAACATGACAAATAAAATCAAACTTTCAAACTGGTAACATAAGTAACATTAAAAATGTAAAATAGCAAATGAAATATGCCAATAACTTTACCATTTCGATTTTGAGTGCCATTATTGTTTTTGGTTATTTTCCAATATTCCAATGCCCCCCCCCCTTCTTTAATCACGCTTCCCTGGCCTTCTATGTATACTTTACTGTGTTCTTTAAAACGTTACCTCTGCGAATTTTTGCACTCTGACAAACGCTCAGCCACTACGGGCTGCTGCACGTACTCCTACGTATTACTGCACTGGAAATGCAAGTGTGTAAATGTCGCTCACCTGCAAGTGAGCGACATTCCATTCGTACACTTAGGGGGGTAAAGGTGTGAATTTTTCCTAGAAAGTTCACACGTTTACCCCCCTAAGTGTACGAATGGAATGTCGCTCACCTGCAGGTGAGCGACATTCACACACTGGCATTTCCAGTGTGATGAAAGCAGTTGTCAGTAGCTTATAAAAGTTTTTGCGCAGCAGGAATACTGACAAGAGGTGAAAAAAATCAGTAACAGGATGAGAGTGGGATAGTACCGTTGAGTTCGTAGGGGACGACTTTGGGG